AATTATAATTATGTCTAAAAAAGAGTTTAATCAGATTTATATTTCTAGTTATTCATTAATTTAGAAATTACTTTATTATCCTAGATAATTTTATGTATAAATTTTTTATAAAAAATAAAGTCATCAATCCCTTAATATATCAAGATGTGATTTCAATAACTATATATTATAAAAGTTAAATTATAAATTTCTATTTTTTACTTTTGAAAATAACAAGATGTTTTGAATATAATTTACTTCTTGCAAACTTAGAATTAATATTTAAATCGATTATTATATAGTTAGCAAAAAACTTATAAGGTTATTCTAAAACAATCTATATTATAATTTAGTAGCAGTTCAACACATGAAATAAAAAATCTTTTTAAATTAACATAAATATATTTGAAGTAATTAGTAAATTAATATGAACTTTATTTATTTCACACAAATTCTTATTAACGATATAAATTTAGATTTTCAATTAAGTTCATGAAAGGAATTTTTTTTATATTTTATTATTTAAATTAATGTTGATATGAAAAATTAGATGTAATAAAAAAAATCAAGTGGATAGCATCTTGTTTCAAAATAATCAACTGAATTTATAGAGATTTAATAAAACATACTTGTTTATTGAGTCTGAATGCTCACACTTATATGATTATTCTATTCTATTTTTTCTATATAATACCAATCTACTATGGGTATCATGTAAACAAACAAAGAAAATTCAATTTAATATTTTTAGAACATCTAAAAAATTTTAAATTTTATAATTTGTGTGATGAAAGTGAATTTAAATAATTTGATAATCAATAATTAACACTATATTTATAATTATTTATTTAAATATTATTATTCTAATTATTTTTAACTTCTGAAGGTTTAATTGTTTTCAATCTCCATTATTCAATAAATCATGTTATATAAATAATAGCCAGTTAAGCATAGTAAATTTTATATCAAAATTCAACAAAAGTAATGGTTAATCTAAATTAAAAAGAAGAAATTATGATGCAAAATTTGAAATAAAATTTGATAAAGAATTTTTGATAGTGATTGTTTTTTAGACTTAGGTTTGGTAAAGATGCCACTAAAAAATCTAACGTATTATCGAAGGAGAGATTATAAAATTTTAATAAAAGAGCAATTAGTTAATAATAAAGTTCTTGTGAATAAATATCAAATAGAGATTAAGTTAAAAAATCTTAGTATGATTAGCATCTATTTTATTTCATGTTGAAGATCAGATAGAATAAATAATTGGAAAATAAATAAAATGTAGAACTCAATCGGGAGATGGAAATTGTGTGATTAAGGTTTAGTAATAAAAGATAAATTAAATAGATTATGATAAGGAGCTTTATAAAATCGTATTGCAGTATAGAATTAATTTGAATTCCACTGAATAATTCGAAGAAGATATTTATTAGGCATTCATATATTAAGCTAATGAGTTTCTAAAATCAAAAACAAATGAAGCTAAAGCGAAGCACAATCAAAATATAAAAGAAGATTAATTGAAATATAAATATCAAATCAAGCCATAATAAGAAAAAATAAGTCATAAATTTGAGTAATAATTATTGAATATCTCAAAATAATAATATCCAAATCCTAATTCAAGATATATACCTGAGGGAAATTTACATTCTGTGGCATCAAAAAATAAGAAATCACAAATAATATAGGAATAAACGGATAAGAAGAAAGAAAAGATGATGTTGCTAAATTAATTTAACTTGAAATCAAAGAGAATTATAAATATGTGTAATAAGAATGAACAAAAATAGTTTTATAATGTGTTAAAAACGGATATGTAATTCAAGAATTTATAGATGGATGAAGCTTTAATTAAAACCAAATTCAATAGAAAACTTTCATAATTAGGTTTTACAAAAGAAGATTAAATATTAACGAATAAATAGATTGTACTTCCAGTATGTGTAAAGAATAGCTAATGAGAATATATATTTATAATTCGCGTATTATTTATGAGCTTGATCAAATAAAATTAAAATCATATGAAAAGCATCCCATAGAATAAACTGATTGTTCGTTTTATGATAAATTGTATCAAATGGTTAATTTAAATTACATATTATATGTTGTTTTTATATCATCAAATTTAGCTACAGTAAATATTAAAATACATAAGATATTTTATATTAAGTGCACCCCTTAGAATTCACACCTTTTTTTTTGATAATGAATTAAAAATATTTTTAAGTATGTTTATGTTCTTATGGAAATGAGAAATTTTAGTAAATAATAAAAATTGATTTAAATTTGATCCAATTTAAAAGATATTCTTTTAGATTTACTTCATTTGTTTGTAAAATTTAATTATACTTACTATTAAAGGCGATATTGTAGTATGTCTGAATCATATGCTCAAATTTATTTATTTATTAAATATGTAATAAACAATAAATATAATAGTTACAGTTACAAGAAAAGTATATTATGGCACTATATTCTGAAAATTCTTCACGGTTAGCTATCTAATTTGCTGATATGAGAATTACTCAACCTACTTTTAATATAACTTTTACTTTTACCAAATTTAATCATAATTATTTAACAATTTTCATTCTTCTGATTAGATTGTTAACTGATAACGCTTTACTAAAATTTTTATATTATTAACTTTTTTTATTCTAAAATCTTTAAATTTTATCATCTGTTTAGCCTCTGTATTTATTCCATCTTAAGCTTGCATCACTTAAAGTTGTGTATTTAATTGGACCATTTTATTAAATACATTCAACACAAGTCAGCCTTGAAAATTTTTTTCGTTTGAATTCAAATTAAGCATGATAATTTCTTTTCCATGCTTATTACATTGGATTTTAAAGCTAGGTGTTTTCTATTTAGTTTAAAGACATAAATACAAATTAATCTTTTACCTTTTAAGTTTGTAATTAATGCTTCTTCACTTCTAGATGTTCTTATTTCACTTTGATTTTCATCAAAGTTTCTTAGATTGTATCAAATTGAAGACATTTAAAAATTTATTAAAATTATTCTTATATAAAATTGATATATGTATTTTCATCAATACATCTATCTAATTCTTTTGGTACCTCAAAGCTGAAGGAGCCTTTATAATTTTTTGATAAGATTTTAACATCTTCTTCAAAAGTAGAAACTTATATCTTGGACTCTTATTCTTCAAATTCCTTTTCCATCAAAGCTATCTTTTGTTCTAAATTGATCTAGACTTTCTCAATTGTATTATTGATCGACATTTTCAATTCCTTAACCTAAAATTATTTTTCTCTAAAATTCTCCATTCTCCTCTAATTCTCTTTAATTTTTTTGCATTACTACTCACTATTCATTTGTTTGATCAAAGTTTTGGTTTCTTCAACCATAGTAAACTTTTATTTTAATTCATGAACATTAATTATTACTTATGAAAATTTCATTAATTACCTTTGCTGAAAAAATAGAATAAATTATTTTTGCTTCTCTTTAATAAATTTTTTGCTAGGTAATCTTCTTAAATGATCCAACTGAGATTAAAATGTTTCAAGAGAACTATATTATAAGATTGGTTAAAGTAGCTTTAAAGTGTACAAACAGATAGAAGATTCGTTTAAAGTATGCTAACCCTCAATATAGAGTTATTTAAGATATTCTCAAAAAGGAATTTAGTTATTGAGTATTTTAGATATTTACTGATGTTGTAAACAAGCAAATTAAATTGAAGGATTTTCGGTTTAAGAATTTTTAAGATCCTTTATAAGAAAAGCAGTTGGACAATCTGAAGGTTTATACTCAGTTCTACAAAATTAATTAAAATTAAGGAGATAACAAAATTTGTACCTCAGAAATAACATAAATCTACGATAGGCTCTTAATTAACCATAATTAAGTATTAGGGAAGAATTTTATTGAGAGTCATTAATTATATGATTAATAGTATTAGACTCTCTTTGAATAAGTAGGAAATCCAGGAGTAACTGATAGAATCAAATATTAAAGGTACAAAGTACTAAGTCAATTGTTAACCACCAGAAGAGATTATCGATTTAATGAATGATCTATGAATAGGCATACATGTCAATCTCTGTCTCAAAATATTTATTATTAGTTTTAATAGATAGGATTAAATTGCAATTGGTAAGCTGTTGATTATTGGCATCACCCATTGCATTACACCTCCTTCTTTATGGTTTAGATTACCACTATGATTTTAAAATTTAAAGGATTTTTATGAATTCTATTGATAAGAGCTTAAAGTTTGCAAAGTCAATCAATTTTTGGCTTGAGAGTAATAAAATGTACAAAAACTTAATACTTAATTTATTATGGGGTTGCTATATATGATATTTTTAAGTCAACCTATAAAATTCGGGGAGCCAATTGTCTGAACTAATTTTAGAGAAAATTGTTTGCTAATGTTAACGTATTGAAAGAATTTCTAAGAACATCCACTTTGTGCAGTGGCAATTGCGAAAATAATAAGACAATTAAGACCATCAGGTTTTAAGATAGATTATACTCAATTTCTCCAAGCTATGATTGCCCATTTATACTGTGATTCATTATTACCATTCTATCATAGGATTTGCTGGTACACCCTTTTCGGTTACAGAAAAGGCATCGAAAATGAATAATGGTCTTCTTTTTAAATTGAACCTTGAGGTTGTCGATTTTTCGCTAAAAACTAAATCTTTTTTTAATTGTTTTTTTTAAAACATTTGAATGAAAAAAAATCTAAAAGTTAAAAATAATTTTCTTGGCGGCCTAATGATATTTTTATACCAAATTAATATCAGACAAGATCGACATAATGTAAAAATAAATTGTAAAATCTTGATATACATTTAGACAAAGTTTAAATGCTTCTTAATGAAATTTTTTTAAAGAACTTTCTAACTTGAATAGGTTTCTAATACACAATTTATAATACATTTAAAACTTCTAATGAGAGATACTCTCGAAACTTGAAAAAATTAATATTTGAAAAACAAAAGATTCTAGGAAAATAAAATTTTTTAATTATTTAATGTTAAAGTTTATGCTTTTATTAAGTACATTATTTTATTTAAATATTGAATCTGAAACTAAAAGAAAACCTTTAAAATTTAGCTTTGAATAGATTGTATATTATAATTTCAAAATATATTACACTATCCCAGTTAAAATTCATCTTATCATTCAAAACAGATGAAATTTATTAAAAAAGGATTTGAATGTCAAGCAAAATATTCAGCGAAAATTTGGCAATTGAATATATTTTCATTTAGATGAAACTATGAATAAACTTTTGTAGAAGATTTTATCAACCTAAACGTAATCAATACCAATTATATCATCATTCTTTTAAATTTTATGCTTAATTTATATTATATTGGCATACAATAAATTAATATTTCTAAATTAGTTATAGTAATTGTTTAGAAGAGTTTTCTCAAAAAGTTTAAAGTCTCACTAGTCTTGCCAATTATAAATTTGAATAAACTTTTATCTAAATACAAAAGAGAGAATAGATTGATTTATTTATTATTGACCCATTCTTTAAAAATAGAACAGAATTGATAATAAAATGTGAGAAAATGTTCAAAAGCTTAGAAGAGAAAAATATATTATTGAAGTAAAGCCAAAGAAAAGAAAGAATAAATATAACAAAAGTTAATGAAGAGATGAATCATAAATAATCCTAGAATATTGCTTCAATCTCAGATCATGACAAATAAATATGTAAGCAAATGAAAATTCAGATTGATCGTTTTCATTCAAAAATAAATTATTTTCTAACCAATATAAATAAATTAATCAAAAATTAAGTAAAATATTATTAAATAATTAGAAATTAATAATTCAAATATAGAATTAACATAAAGAATTCTGAATTAACCGGTTGCGGTTATAAAATATGAGAAATCTTAATTAAAAAGAAAAAATCTAAATATGAAGTGATAATTTGTGTTATTTTTTGTATCTGATTTTGAATGTAATTTAAAAAGCATCATTAAACCCTTAAACCATTAAATTCTATTTTAGATTCATAAATATTTAAAGAGAATATTACAATTATTTTTTAATTTTTAATTTTAAAAAAGATAGAAAGAATCATTAAGATTAATATATTTTATTAAAAATATACCCTTTAAGAGTGAAAATAAATGCAGTTGAACTTATCTCATATTTAATTTTAATATCTAAAAGCTATAGTAGATTATTATATTTCAAATATAATTTCATAAAGTCAAAACTATCATGAATCTGTATTATTAGGCTATAAAGCTAAAATTTTATTTCCTTTTATGATTCTGTTAAGGAACTAGAGAAGAAATCATTATTAGTTCCTTGGTTGTAATAAATGAATGACATTTTTTGCTTTCAGCATCAAGCTTATTCACATAAGAATGGATCAATCCAGTTCATTATCAGTCATTTTAATATTTATCTTTAAATTTAAACTTATTTTTTTTTTTATTATCAATTATTT